AATGAGACCTTGTCGGGCCGGGCCATGTGTGTCATAAAATGTAGTGCCAGGTAGCGGAGATATAGACTTTATAAAGGACACAAACATAAAGGGGTTTTTTTTACTTAAAATAAAAACATTGCTTAAAACATGAGCACTCTTGCAATATTTTGTTTATTTAACAGTGTCTGATAACTGACACCTCTTGCTCTGAATGATTGCATCAAAATGTCTGTGCTGTTGCAATCTTGAGTATGCTGTTCGGGTGTGTATCTGTAAGCTGCAAACCTATGATGACGCAGCAGCAGAACTGGAAGCAGCAGCAGAAGACAGCCAGTTCCACTGAGGGCCTGATAGAAGTCCTCCGGAGGCCCCCGGGCCACATGTTTGACACCCCTGGTGTAGGGTGTCTTCTCCGAGTCCTCCTGGCCATAAATGCTCAGGATCGCTCCTCGTTTCCCCTGCTTTGTTTTTTCTTCTTTTGGCTGTGCTGAAAGTTGGGGCCTGCAGTCTCCCCTAAGCGGTCCTCCTCCTTTTCCCAACAGCACATCTCGATACCCCGGCCAGACTCTGTGACGGAGGCCCGGACCTTCTCGTTTTACCTCTCCCATATTGGCAAGGACAGCCCCCAGGGGAGTTTTGACTGCATCCAGCAGTATGTGTCCAGGTGAGTGGGGCTTGCAGCTCCCATGCAGGAGCGTGCACGTTTGCTGCTGCTCCCGAAGATGAAGCTCCCGTGTTCATGTTCGGAGGCCTCTGAGCGCCAGCGGCCTGGGAGCGCGTCGCCCTCTGCCCCCCGCTGGCCTCGGCATGCCATTGCCGTGATCCTGCTCCCGTGTTCAGGTTGCGCAGAAACGGCTATGCCAGCACCGCCCCCTGCCCAAGAGCAGCTCCTTCTGCCTGTTTTCTTGTTTGTCATTTTATTTTTATTTTTTGTTCCACAGCGATGGGGACATCCAGCTGGATTGTCTGGGCAGCATCCAGGATAAAATCACCATCTGTGCCACGGATGATTCTTACCAGAAGGCCAAGCAGAGCATGGCCTTGGCGGAGGAGGAGACGCGGAGCAGAAGTGCCATCGTTATCAAGCCCGGAGGCCGCTACGTCGGTAGGGGGAGGGGGGCACCGCTCTTAAGCTCTGTGCGGAGTGTTCTGAGCTGCTGCGTTCAGGAGGGCGGGATGGATGCTCGGGAGCTGTGAAAGCTGCCTTTCATTTGGCCTTTTAAATAATGGGAGCATAACAACCTGTCTGAAGCCAGCCACCTTCAGAGGGGAGGGGGCAGAAGGAGGTTTGCAAGCAGAGCATAAGGAGACAGGGGCTGCGGGGCCCTCGTTTAGGGCTACACAGGGGGGGGCGTGCTTTCAGGGGGCATTCAGCAATTAAACTGGGATGATGGACTTTTGGCAAGGTAGCATTTAGGGCAGGTGTCAGTCAGGGGCAGCCCTGAAAGGGACTTTTGTGAGCAAGCCTGTTACCAGTAGGAACCTGGCCCCCTGAGCACACGCACACACTGCCTTTTCCCTCCCATGGTTTTATTTAATACCTGCTGACTTTGTAGCACCCATGTTCTCTCTCAGCTGTGGAGTCTTGTGAGCAAAAATTGGAGTTTGTGAGCTACCGGCATTAAAGTTGTGAGCGAGCAATTTGGCTGCTGCCTCAATTAGTTTGCTCTGGAGCCATCCTTCCTGAGCTAAGACAAAAATGTGTGAGCCGGAGGCTAAAAAGTTGTGAGCTAGCTCACGCTAACTCAGCTTAGAGGGAACACTGGCGCCAACCATCTGCTCTTGCACAGAGAACTTGATTGAGAGCAAGATGAAGCAGGAGCAGGGATGGGGGGCCCCTCATCTGCCTGTTCTCAGGTGTGTCCAGGCTTAGTTTGGTGACGGCCAGTTTGGTGTAGTGGTGAAGAGCAGCGGACCCTAATCTGGAGAAACAGGCGTGCCTCCCCACTCCTCCTCCACAGGAAGCCAGCTGGGTGGCCTTGGGTCAGTCACCGTTCTCTCATATCTCTCTCAGCTCCACCTACCTCATAGGGTGTCTTGTTGTGGGGGGAGGAAGGGAAGGCGACTGTAAGCCACTCTGAGACTCCTTCAGGTAGTGACGGGCGGGGTCTGAAACCAGCTCTTCTTCTTCTGTGGTGAGACTCTGGGCCTCTCTCTTCCAATAACCACAGCAGTTGCTTGAGAGGGTAGCTATGTTGGTCTGTAGTGGGACAGCTATAGACTCGAGTCCAGGAGCTCCTTGGAGACCAATGAGGTTTTCGAACGGTTTTTGACAGTCGGAGCTCCCTTCATCCAATCGGAGGCGAGGGGAGGGCTGGGGCTCTCAAAAGCTCCCACCCTGGAAATCTTGTCAGTCTCTGAGGTGCTCCTGGACTCGAATCTATAGCTGTTCTACTGTTGTGGAATCCATATAAGGGAAGCATGTGTACCTACCCTTTATTTTTTTTTTAAGTGAAAGGATGTAATATTTGCGCACCTGTAAGGGCCGGGCTTCTTGCCCGAGGCCTGCCATTCTAGTTCATTGGGGGGGGGGGAGAGAGATGGGGCTCCTTAATCCATTTTCCTCCCGCCATTTCCTCAGAATCCTCCATCCTTCCTCTCTGCTCAACCTCTTTTCTTGCCACACTGGGGAAGGGGGGGAAATGAGATTGAGGGGGGGGGGAATTTTGGGCTCATAATCAAAGGGAGGAAAAAGGGCAAAGCAAACCCACAGGCTGATCCTTGTCCATCTGGGCAGCCTCCTGTGGCTGTTTTTTGTTTCTGTTTTTTTAAAGGAAGGGTCGGTTCCCTGTGTCTTCTGCATAATGTTGTTTAGCCAGGGCAGATCAAGCCGGTTGGCCAGATTAATCCCATTCCGAGTGGGTTTCCTAGTTCTTTTTTCTTTTCTTTTCTTGAATGTGGACAAGCTCTGTTATTAGAAATGATACAGAAGTGGTCAACTTGAATATAGCAAAGACATGCAAAGTGATTTACTGAGAGAACTTTCAGAAGCAACTTATAGTACAGAGCGTATGATCTGCTTTTCAGAGAGAAAAAACTGGCCATCCTTTTGAGCATATCCACACCAAAAGTAGCTCTTTCTCAGGGGATTAAAGTAGTAAAAGAGGAATTATTTTTATACCCTGCTTTTCTCCATCCTAAGGAGTCTCAAAGCTGCTTACAATTGCCTTCCCTTCCTCTTCCCACAACAGGCACTTTGTGAAGTAGGTGGGGCTAAGAGAGTTCTGAGCAATGCGACTGGCCCAAGGTCACTCAGCAAGCTTCATGCAGAGTGGGAAATCAAGCCCTGTTCTCCACATTAGCGTCTGCTGCTTCTGTGCCCAGGCTGCCTTCGGCAAAGTGTGAAGAACAGGGAGATCTCTCCTTCCTCCCCCCCCCCTCCAAACACTAGTGGTTTGCAGATTACCCAGTTATCCCTGACTCATCATGTTGAGTCAGCCCCGCACTTCCGCCCGGGGAAGGAAGCGCCTGGTCCTGCTGCCTTCCGGGGAGAGAGGCAAAGCGATGTTGGTCTGAAGCCACAGAACCAAGTGTGAGTCTGGCAGCACCTTGAGTCCAGAATTAAAATGTGTTGGTCTTAAAGGTGCCACTGGACTCGAATTTTGTACAGTTAAAGCAGCCATGGTTAACTGGGGGGGGGGTACCCCAACCTTTTTGCGTCTGTGAGCACCTTTGGAATGTCGCAAGGGGGTGGCAAGCAGCACCCCAAAATGGCTGCTGCAAAAGGTGAAGCCAAGACGGCACCCCCGTGCCACACCCCTCGTGGGAAGAAGGGAAGCCTTCTTCCCTTTTTGCATGATGGCAGCCAGTTACAAGTTCTGCCTTATGGTGGCCCTGCCTCCTTTCTGAAATACTTGGTGGGCACCAAGGGAAGCACGCGTGGACGCCATGGTGCCCCACAGGCGCCGCATTGGGCGACCATTCAGGGCCCCAGAGCCCGTATGCTAAAAGAGTTGCCTCTCCCGATTAGGGCCACTGTGGTATCTTTGCCCAGCACCTTTTGGCTATCTCAGACTTCATGGGGGTGCATTTCTCCTGCTGCCTCTCCAGCCGTACCAAACAGCCTGCCTGAAGAAACCAGAAAGGCAGTTCCCAGGTCTGACGAAGGGGTCCTTTGGAGTGCCTTGGTGATTACAGCTGTCTTGTGGAGTATCCCTGATAAGGCTTCAGTTGGCAGTTCAACTAGTTTGTGGTGATACATTTCTGTCATTTCTGTGGATTTTCATCTGTTAGGGTTGGGCCACAGTTGCCTGCAAGAGAGGCAAGCTTATAAATGTGTTAAAGGAATAAGCTCTTGGCTTTAGTTGCTGTAGATTTTCCGGGTTGTGTTGCCGTGGTCTTGGCATTGTAGAACCTGACGTTTCGCCAGTAGCTGTGGCTGGTGTCTTCTCTGTGTCAAGGAGTACTCCATCTTTCTGAGTGATACCTCCGAGGATGCCAGTCACCGCTACTGGCGAAACGTCAGGTTCTACAACGCCAAGACCACAGCCACACAACCCAGAAAATCTACAGCAACTAATGAACTCCGGCCGTGAAAGCCTTCGACAAGCTCTTGGCTGCTTTTGAATCAGGGGTGTAAACAGACCTCTGGAAACTCCCCTTGCGGCATGCCAGCCACTGACACCTGCCAGCCACTGACACCTCTCTCATTTTGAACTCATCGGCCCTTGACGCTCACCTGGCTGTCTGCAGCCGACAGAGCTGGGCAAGGAGGCATCCTTCTTTCTGAAAAAGATCCGGCAAGCCTGGCCTGTACCAGGTTTGAATTGCCAAGCTGAGGAAGGTGGTGCTAAGGCTCTGGCAAGCAGCAAAACCACACCCAGGTGTCTCCTTTTCTCATGAAGTGTCAGCACCCCTCTCCTGCCACATCTTAGGGAGCCTGTGTCCCCACATGTGCTGTGACCCTTGATCCAAATTGGGGGGCTGGATCGGTCCCTTGCACAGAAGTAAATGGGGCCTGCGTGGTTTGTGAGGGAGTGACGATGAGGAAATCCCCCTGCTCTGGTTCTCGGTGAGGTCTGGTGTGGTTGATATTCTAACACAATGCGGTGGGGGGGGAACAGTTCTCCCCAAGCTGTATGGGAGGTTGTAGAGGGATGCCAGGTTCGGAGTTGCCTGCTGTTACCCGGGGAGGGTTTAATAGGGGCAAGTAGTGAGGTGGTCCTTCCATCACAAAGGGCCCCTTAAGTGGCCCCGGTGGGCAGGGAGGAACAGCAACTAATGAGGAGGAGGAGATTGGATTTATACCCCACCCTTCACTACCCAAAGGTGTCTCAGAGCAGCTTACAAACTCCTTTTCCCTTCCCCTCCCCACAACAGACACCCCGTGAGGTAGGTGGGGCTGAGAGAGCTCTTGACAGAAACTGCCCTTTTTCAAGAACAGCTGTGCCAGAACTATGGCTTGCCCAAGGTCATCCAGCAGGTGCAAGTGGAGGAGTGGGGAATCAAACCCGGTTCTCCCAGATTAGAGCCCGTGCACTCAACCACTACGCCAAAGTGGCTGCTCCCCTTCCGAGAGCCAGTGTGGTGGAGAGGTCAGTGTTGGACTGTGGTTTAGATTCAGATCCCCGCTTGGAAATGCATCGTGCTGTGTAACCTTGGGCTGGATGCCCTTTCTCAGTCGAACCCACCTCGCAGCACTGTGGTGCTGTTGTTTTTCTACGTAGCTCTCTGAGCTCCCTGGGGGAAGGGAGGGGTAAAGAGTCAGAGTTCGTTTTCTTTCCCCGTTTGCTTCCGGGCTCGAAGGGAAGTGTTGGCCGGCCGCTCAGCTCCATTCCTTCCTGCTTTTGGCCCTGCTTTTGGCCAAGTGTTTGCATCCTCTCTGACCTCCCTCCCCATCCTTAGGCAAGAAGGTCCAGATGCGCAAGCCTGCACCGGGGGTGTCTGATGCAGTGCCCTCTCGAAAACGGCCAACGCCCATCAACCTTGCCAGCACCATCAAGAAAGGGAACAGCGCTGTGTCTCAGCGGCCTTTCAGAGACCGGCTGGTGCATTTGCTGGCCCTGAAGCCGTACAAGAAACCGGAGCTGATCCTGAGGCTGCAGAAAGACGGCCTCGCTCAGCAGGACAAGGATTCCCTGGATAGCCTCTTGCAGCAGGTCAGTCTGTCCTTGGCATGTCATCAAAATACCCCCCCACACACACACACCTCTGCAGTCAAGAGGCAGCCTTCAAAGGAGACAAACACCTTTGCAGAAAGATTTGCGGGTCACCCTTTGATGTGAGAGTCTTAATGGAGCCTCCATGTGCAGCAGCAGCACACCTCTGAATACCCGTGCTACTGCTTTCGTACTCTGTTTGGGTATTGCTTCCCAAGGCATCTCACTGTTCGTTTTGTTGGTTAATGGGCTCCTGAGCTAGTTCAACCTGGGTGAATGGAAATCTTGAAATCGTCCATGACAGTGGGATGGGACCCCGTTCTAAGCTACTAGGAAGTACAGACAAATGTGTGTGACCCAACCATATATCTCTGGCCCTGAGCATTTATCAGGACTATATGCCCCCTTCTCCATCCGTCCCGTCCCCCAATAATAAACCATGAAGCCTTTCCCAAACTGCAAGGTTCCATTTTTAGCCTTGCTTGCTCCCTTCTTTCTAAGAGGTGTGTGGGAACAGGAGGCCTGTCTGAAATTCATCTCTGCATTCATAAGAGCAAGGAGCTTGCTTTTTTAAAAAAAGAAATGCAAACAGCGTATTTTTCACAATCCCAAATTCTGCGCGGGATGGTGACCTCTACAGATGTGTGGAATCGATACCGCTCTGTGACTTATTCTCTCCCGTAGTGTTGACGAACGCCCACAGTGCATGTCTGGTCAGCATAACTTCCTCCCAGAGCACGTAAACCTTTCTTAGCTGCTCTCTCTCTTCCCCCAACCCCCACCCCTTACAGGTTGCAAATGTGAACACTAAAGATGGAACGTGTACCCTAAAGGATTGCCTGTACAAAGAAGTGCAGAGAGACTGGCCTGGATATTCAGAAGGAGACCAGCAGCTGCTAAAAAAAAGGTTCCTTTTCCGGTAGTAGATCCGGTGTCTGACTCAGGACCGGGACCTTCTTGTTGTCGCTTTTATGTTCTCAGGAGCCTCGGTGGTTCATTACTGGGCGTCATGGGATTCTAAGGCAGGCTTGACTGGAGTCCTGCCCAGAGTGTGGTGGTCATTTGGGCAAGAGGGGCTGAGTGGAAGGGGCTGTGCCCTGGTGGATGCAGGGCGGTGGATTCCGGCTTCACACGTAAAGACAAAACCCGCCCACTTTCCTGCTGTACGCCACCCCTGCCTGCAAGCTGGCGTTTTTGGCATGGAGGATGGTATTCCAAAATGGGATCTTCTGCCCGACGCTGCTAGAGGATGTAGTGATGGCCACTGGCTTTAAAAGGAGATTACACAGATTCGTGTGTGTGTGTGGGGGGGTCTATCAGGGGCTACTAGCCCTAGTGACTAAAAGGGGACCTCCATGTTTAGAGACAGTCTGCCTCTGGATCCCAGCGCTGGGAGACAGCATCAAGGGAAGGCCTCGGCCTCTATGTCCTGTTGTTGGGCCTCCAGAGGAACTGGCTGGCCACGGTGTGAGACAGGATGCTGGACTAGGTGGACCCTCACTGGTGGGATCCAGCAGGGCTCTTCTGAGGTTCTTGTGATGGGACTGCCGTTCTTACAGCCTTGTCCTTGAAGAGCCGGTGGAATGCTTTTGGCAGGGGGAGGAAATTGAGCTCGAGGAGGCCGGACTCAAGGGATGGGGTTTTTCGATCAGTGGAAGCGCTTGATGCCGATAAAGCTTGTCCGCGTCTGGGTCACAGAGGGGAAGACCGGTGGCCAGTGCTCCCTCTAAGCTGTGGAGTCTTGTGAGCAGAAATTCTACATTGTGAGCTACCGGCATTAAAGTTGTGAGTGAGCGGTTTGGCTACTGCATGAATTAGTTTGCTCTGGAGCCCTCCTTCCCGAGCGAAGACAGAAATGTGTGAGCCAGAGGCTAAAAAGCTGTGAGCTAGCTCACACGAACTCAGCATAGAAGGAACCCTGCCGGTGGCTCAGTGGTTCGAGCACATGATTTGCATGTTGACGGACCCAGGTCTAGCCTGGAGAGGTGCTGCCAGTCAGGAGTACTGAGTGAGTCAGGTCGGTGGTCTGACTGAGTCTGTGGCAGCTTCAGGTGGCTGTGAGCAGGAGGCCAGGGCTGTTCCCTTCTACTTCAGTCCGCGGGGCCCACGGGCTCAGCAGTTGAATGCCTGTGTCATGGGCAGGAGATGATGCACACGCAGGTGCAGGCAAAAGCCTCTCTGAAGTCAGCTTCAAACGTTCAGATAACTCCAGCAGGGCCCTTGCTCCTTTCTGCCCATTTGAACGTGTCCCACAGCCACCCCACACACATCGGCTTTCTCTCCCTCTCTGTGGCTCTGTGTGTCTGCCTGGGATGCGCAGAGTATGGCACTGGGGCTGAGCTTCCAGAGGATCCCTGTTTTTTTAATCTTTCTCCTTTTAAAAGTGTAAATCAGACAAGGCTTTGGTGGTTCAGATACCTGCCTGGAGGCCCCTGGGCCGTGTTTAGCGGGCAGAATGCAATTCTCAGCAGTTGACAGTCCGGGCTGCAGGTGACGAGGGGCTGCCTTTTGCGATAGCCAGCAAGAGCCCAACAGGAATCCCGCAGCTTGGCCCCATTAGCCTAATGGCTGCTGTTTTTCTTCGCCTGGCCCTTGGGCTGCCTGAGCGTCACGTTTCGGAAATATAGCCATGCCCCTGGAGCTTGCCCGGGTCTGTGCTTTAGGGGCCTCCGCTCACCCAAACGGGTACGAGAGGGAGGCATTAAATGTCCCCTCCACACAGCAAGGTGGCTTGGGTTGCTGTCAATGCTCCCTCTAATCTGTGGAGTCTTGTGAGCAAAAATTCTACTTTGTGA